AAGACTCAGAAGGTTTTATTTTTCGAACTCTGTGAGTTACTTTTTTATTCAAGCAAACTTCGGGCACTTATATACATATTTTTTACATATGAAATAAATTTCTAAAATTTTCTAAATTTGAGAAATTACTAAAATTTGTTAAATTTCTTAAATTTCCGAAATTACTAAAATTTGTGAAATTTTCTAAATTTACGAAATTTCTTAATTTTTTAAAATTTGGTTAATTTTCGCGATTTTCAAAATTTTCGAAATTTTCAGAATTTCGAAAATTTTCGAAATTTTGGAAATTTTGGAAATCTTGATGATCTTCCTCCGGACCAGGCGCAGCATCGGGGTGGGTAATTTCGACCCTTACACCGTAAAATTGGACTGCGGCTAAGTCATATGGTTCCGGAAAGAAAGCTCGGAACCCAATTCTCTCATGTGACACTACCTAATGCCACCATCTCGGCATACCAATTTGACTAAATACAGGTAAGGATTGACACTAATCTACTAATTATACATGTTTGTACTATAAACAGGCTTAACAAGAATCTATAAGCTAAAAATAGGACATCGGACTACGTCGAAGCGCAGTATTTCCGGAGGGTCAAATTAGCCCTTTACAAGGTCCGGAAAGTAAACCCGGAACACAAATTTCCCATGTGACAATAGTACTACATCGAAAGGTAGTACATTCGGGATGACCAAAATTGACCTTTACAACGTCAAACCCATCTGTCTCGGATCCGCTAGAGAACTACTAAGATATATCCATTTCAAACCATTTACTGAGATTACTAAGACATACTGTTTGTCATCAATTTGTATGTCAAACTTCCTGACTCACTATCAAAAATTTTAGGTTGCATATTTTGACGCATATTGGCCCATATGAGTGCGCAACAATACCCACCGATTACAAAGCGATATAACAATAGTTAATCTTATCTTAAAACCAAAGGCTCAAGTAGAGATGCCTTTTTCAAATTTCATGCATAATGCGCATGAAATGCACACGATTTCATTAGATGTAAATTTAACTAGCATTATGTCGGGCTTACCCGCATTATAAAAAAAAAGAAATAATGCGCATGCCATGCATCACTAGGCTTAAGCTGTATTTAATTAGTTTTGTGTTCAATAATTAACGTTAAGAATTTTAGCTAAATTCGGAATTACATTTACCCGCAACAAACAATAAATGACGTAAGTTATTATTTAAAAGGTAAAAATAACAAGATTTTAATATAATAAAGAAAACAAGGAAATGGTGTGAGCCTTGACCATAACCCCGGGATCGGTATAACGTGACTTTAGTCACGGGAGCAAGTGCATTAAATGCAATTTATTACACTGGGAGATATGATAGAATTTGAGGGACACATGTGGTGTTGTAAGTTTATTAAATATAGTAGGAACATGATCTTTTGTTGTATATCGAAAGCTGGAGACTTTGTGTCATTTTTATGTAAACAGATATTTCATTATAAATAAAGGCCGTTTTGGCTCTTTGAGACGATATGTCTCCTTTGCTTCAATAAGTCCCTAATAACTAAACTAATAAATTTGCTAAACCCCCTAACTACTGAAACCCCTAACCACTAAAACCCGCTAAACTACAATTACCCCCGAATTATTGAGATCCCGTCCGGCTGTTGTATCATAAAGTACCAGGATCAGCCGTGGTTATCGTGTCCAACTATCCGAAGTAGTGTAATAGTTGTGGTTGTTCCAATTACCAAAGTAAAGAGGTAATTGAGGTATTGAAGAAACTAAGACACTTAAAGAAGATTACTTACCTACGGACACCCAAACCAACCCACAAAATCTAACACGCCTCTAACGACTAAGCCGCCTGTGGGTCACTGGAAGATTAGGTTATTGAGTGTTGAGGTTACAACACACCCGATTTCAATGGTAATGCATACTTTGAATTTATCACAATAATAAATCCCAAATTCGTGTGATAAATTCGAATTATTAAAACATACGTATGTACGGATAATAAAGGAGTTTCTTAGTGACCGAACAGCAAATGCATAATGCGATACTTATCTTCCTTATCACCAATAGTTAATTAGATAATCCTGACATATCTTTAATTAAAATCTCTATTAAAAAAAAACTTCTATACGAAAAAGAATGATAGTTGGTGATTACGCACATTTTATTAGTTGTAATAAGGAAGCTGTTACAAATAAATATGAACAGCTTGTTACAAATCGTTCTTCTTGAATCATAAAAATTTTCTATCTTGTCCACGTGATATTTTCCCGTAAAATCAAGTTCTAAGTTAAAGTAAAAGACCCAAATTGCCATATCGCATTGCTTTTATATAGTATCTTTAAATTGATTAATTAATTGATCAATTTCGTAATTGTTACATCGAACTACCAATAAATTCATATCCCGTGACCCAGATTGTAACCCAAATTATAACCCAATTCGTAACCCGATTTGTACTCAAATCGAAACCCAATTTGTAACCCAATCGTAACTAAATTGTGATTCCGATAAACGTGACCAAGGCAATCCATAGACCCAACTTCTATAACAAAATACCTACCCAAGTAACCCTAACCTCGGACCAAGTTAATCCTCGCCTCTTTCAAGCCTTTTCCAACCTAGGGTTACCTTTTTAGTTGGATTTTTGGATTGTTTGGTTTGTTTGTATAGATTAGTTGGATTCGAACCTCTGTGTAACCTAACTTCCGGACGAGTTCTAGCCTAGAACCAATCCTCACTTTTTCACCGGTCAAAATTCTAACCCAGAACTGGTACCAATCTCTACACTGAGCAGGTGCGAAAATAATTTTTTTTAGTTCTCAAACGCAAGGGAACGAAAATTGTTCCGTCTCATCGGGTATTATTTATATCTATCCATAGAGCTTCCCGTTTTTGGCGCTTGATTGTTCCAAACTTACCTTGGCGTTCGCCATTGCATGTGCCATCACATTTGGTTTTCATGCCGTTTCTCTTCGATCACGTGATTACCTATCACTTGGGTTGTTTTGTGAGCACGTAATTATGATTTAAGATTTTAGTTGGTAGATCAATTAATAAATTAATAAACAATTACTAGTAAAAAAATTCGTTCAAATTAGGAGTTAAATAAGAATCAGTATTATTTTTCTTATTATTCTCTAAATGCATTTTATTAAAAGTTGGTCGTCTAACTGTGTATATATTTTATTAATTTAGTATAAGAATTATAAACAAGACATCCAATGGCAATGTGATTACTGTAGTAACTGAGGGAAACAGATTGACAATGTGATTGGCAATGGTACGTAGCAAGTTTGCAAGAAAAATTAAAGTAAATTGACTACTTTTCTATAATAATATTAACAATAGGAAAGTTCGTGTTTAAATATTGCTATATAATTTCCAAAGTCCATTCCAAATACGCATTCAGAAGAGTTATCTTTTTCATCAGTTGGGTGATGTATTGAAAGATAAAGATCTGAGTTTTCTAAAATTTCTAAAAAATTTGTAGCCAAATATTTATGAACTTTTGTAGTGAAATGATAATTATCCCAATAAAAAAATGAATTTTTATCGAAATTTTGTTCTTTAATAGAATTTAAAAATGAAGAAATTGTTGAGAACAATGCTAAATTGGAATACCAAGTTAAATCCGAGTTATGATATTTTTCATTATTTATATCTAATACTTTTGGTGTTTTTTCATTATAATTATCAATGGCAGCATCTACACAATTTGTGATTCCAAGACTGCGTATTCTAAATTCAGTATCGGTATGCAATTCATTAATAATTTTACCAGCTCTTAAATAAATAACTTCAACTCGAGTTTCTTTACTAAAATTTATTAAATGTTCAAGCAAATATTTATTATGGGATTCAGATATTTTTGATATTCTCTCCTTTTCCTTTATGCTTGTAGTTTTAAATTGAGGTGCTAGGGACATATCATAGAGAGTATGGATTATTAGGTTTTTGATCGTGGGAATAGACTTTACAAGGAGATGAAGTGCGCTGATTAAAGATTGAACTACAAGAAGTGGAGATGCAGACATTTCTGATAAGAAATAGTCATTTATTCCGCCCCATACCTGAGTTATATAAAAGAGTAAATATATACCAAATTATCATTAAAAGTGATTTTAGAAAAGAGTTTAATAGGTTAAATAGGTGGAAAGTACATACAAAAAATAAAGATCTACTAAAAACTTCGTTTTTTTTGGGTAGAAATAAAATTTTCGATTTGTTGTTTAATTCCAGGTACAGTATGGCAGTTTGGTCCCGTGTATCCTTGAATAAAGTTGTTACTATTGATTGAATCAGTAAAAGTAGTCATATACTTTATAAAGCACATTACTCAAAATTTGTTACTTACTCTGTAGTGGCGCCACCAAAAGCACAA